AGAGGAGAGGAGAGGGGAGAGGAGGGGAGGGAGAGGAGAGGAGAGGGGAGAGGAGGGGAGGGGAAGGGGAGAGGAGAGGGAAACAAGTGCATAGAAGTCCAGTCCACGAGTACCCAGCCCTCCTTGCCATGCTCTGCATCACGCCCTTTCATAGAAAGCAGTTCCTTGCGGAAATCTGCTTCCTGTGTTTTAAATACACGGCTTTCATTTCAGAAGATAGCAGTGGCAAATGATGCTGTGATTTGCTTTCCTAAAAACAAAACAAATAAACAAAAAACCAGAACAAAACTGAAAAACAAACAGACAGACAAACAAAAAGACACTAAGCTTTAAAGAAAACTTTGTACCTGCCACACAGCTAATAAGAGGCAAAGTCAGATTTGGGATTGAGGATGCAGGCTTCTGGTCCAGCATCATTTTCCTTTTCAGAAGCCGGCTACCCATCCTTGCTTCCCTTTACACCTCTGTGTAAACAGTCTAAGCATGCACTGACCCATGAGGTACTATGACCAGCATGAACTGTGAATACTTAAGATGGGTGGTTGTTCTGAATTGAGATGTATCAAAGGATGGGAAAAAAATTAATTGAATTTTCTGGTTTTTCAGACTGGAGAACTTAGGATTATGTGCTTTTCTTAAATTTAAAAAGAAGCCCACCAGATTGATCCATAAAAATATCTGAGTGAAATTCAACTTTTGATGTAGGCTTTTTCAAAAAAACTGAACACAGATGCAAAGTCCACCCTCTCATTGAAATACACTCTACAAAATTCACATGCTATCAATAATTCACCCTCCGATTTGAAAGAAAGTTACTAGTGAATATCTAAGTGACTCAGTTTCTTTTTTCCACTAACACAGTAAATCACTCAAAAATGTCATCAAGTATTCAACAATTCATCCTTTATACAGTGTAATAATCAACAGCTCTCAGGACCACAACGATGAACAATGATAACCAGATTGGACTGCATTTCTTTTCCTAACAACCCACCTTCTAGGTCTTCAGTTGCCTTGAACCTTATCCTAAATTCATTGTTTCATAAGCCAGTTGGTTTCTTTAAAATACCTACTATAGATGTTCTTTAAAACTTAATGTTATATGCTAACAACCTATTTACCCAGTAAACAAAAAAATTGATTAATAAATTTAAAGCAGTATGAATAACAGGAAGTTCCATTTTTTAATTGTCATACTTTGTTATTTATCATATTTAGGTAAAAAACATAAACATTGTGACAGTTCTATGGTATTTTTTAAGACAGGATCTTGCTATGTATATAGCCAAGGATGGAAGTTGAGATATTGTTGCCTGAGCCTCACAATGTTGGGACTTTAGGTATCTTTCACACGCAACTTTTTAAAAGAATGGTATTTAGTGAACAACTTAACTTTTGCTAAGGATGATCCACTGTTGTGATAAGATTATATTATGTACATATATATGCATATATGACACCTCCCCTTTTATAACTGGGGGTCATTGTCATTTCTATATTGTTTGATGGCAGAAAGGCTACTTATGCCTCTGGCTAGTGAATGGTTTGCAAGTTCTAACAAATCCTTCCGACTCCGACTCTTAGGTAGTAGTAGTTAACTCACAGGAAGAATTGGAATATTTGTAGAAACAGTTTCATATTCTTGGTGTCATTACCACAGAGCATTAAACACAACAAAGTCCTGCAGAAAAATGGCCATTCACTGGCCAATAGAGTCTGAAATCACAGCAGCAACAGAGGAATCAATCCCCGTGAGACTAAAAATACAACCCCAGAGTCCCCACTGGTGAGAAGTCATCTCCAAACATAATCCTTAGAAACAGCAAACCTGGATGTAGTTAAATAGTTTCAATTAGCAGAAATATTAGCATGTGATTTGGTAGCTTCATTTCCTCTTTTTCCTGAAAAGCTGTATCTTCTGTAGTACACGGTGAAGTGAAGTGGTATAACCAGAAAGTCCTAGTCTTAACAAAATGACAGACCAAAACCATGTCATACAGAAAGTTGAATTATTATCTAATACTTGAGATAGCCCTTTAAAAAGCTAACTCAGTAAAACTGGCTTTTATTTTTGGGGTTTTATAAATTCTTTTGGTCTTTTTTTTCCCCAGGGTCAAATAAAGCAAGTATTGTTTTTAATGAGAGGGTGAATAACACTGCTGGCTGTAATAAGGGTACTGAAAATGTTACAAACAATTAGATCTCTTTGGGGAATTTCCGAATTTTTAGATACTGCTCAATTACCTTGTTATAGAAACACTCCAAAGATGCTAGATTTGGAATTTAACGGTATTGTGGTTCTGTCCTTACCTCACCGCTTTCTACTCCCTGAATCTCTCTTCTGGAGTGTAAATGACGGCTAACAATATCTAAGTCAAGCGTTGAAACAGAACAGGATGTTACAGCCTAGGACATTCTGAGTGCTCAGTTAGTCACAGTGCTAGCTGTCCCTGAGTGCCACAGGCCTCCGTTGGAGATGGTGGAAGGCAGTTGGACCGGGAAATGGCATATTTCTCAACTTTCCCCCAGCATCCTTCTTTGAAAGTAGTCCACCCATGTTTGTTAAACTACTTTCTATTAACTCTGTCAATAATAAGGGTGAGCTATTTTGACTGAGGAGTACCAGATTTAACTAAAGTGATATTAAGTATTTCACTGCAGTTTGAGGGACTCCTCATTTTCACTAAAGGACAACCGCTATTGCCTATGATACACTGTAACTACAGAAAATTCCATTTACAATATTTAGGCAGGTTCGTCTGTTACTTGAAGGAAAATATGTCACCAAAAGTTTTGAAACAGTGCACAAGTGGAAAAACGAAGTGAGGCGAGAAATGAGAATGATCATCTCTGATGGGCAATGGATCAGAATATATCTGTGTCCAAGAATTCGATTCTCTACATACAGAGGCTGAAATCCAGAGAGGCACTAACAGTCTTAAATCAGGAACTGGGTAGTCTTAAACCATCTGGATGACAAGGCTCAGAGACCTTCAAAGCCCCCGTGAAAAAGATTGTTTTCTTTTTAGCTTCTTTGCCTACTGCAATTAATGCTGTTTAGTGTGCACTGTCAACTTTTAAAAGAAAATTAGCCATCCAGCCGCCCGTAGCCCATTGGCATGCACTTCGGAATATTCCTTTTAAAAAATAAATTACGTGCAAATGCGTTCCGATTACCCTTTATCCCCAAAGTCGCTCCAGAATCCAAAAATCACGCTCAAACTATATTCAAGATGTGCTCACGAAGGCCCAGACCCCGAGGCAGGAGCATCATTCATGTGTCAAGTTCACACCCTCCTACAGATCAATTTCAGCCGAGCCCGGAAAGTGCATTATGATTTCTTTATAATGAAACCCAACATATCCAGAAAGAAATCAGTCAGTTTCCACGGACTCTGACCAGCAGCTAGTTTCACCGACCCCGTCCAGAGACGGGGGTCCCTCCTCGGGAAGGTTGGCATCCTTTCGGTCCGCCTTGGGCGCCGGGCTTGGCGCACCAACTGTCCTCGCGGGTCGCAGCCCCGCCTCAGCGGCCGACCAATGGCTGAGGCCTCTCGCCGGGCCATCCCGTCTTCCGGTGTCACACCAGCCAATAGGGATGGCCGTATGGAGCCAGCAGCCAATGGGAACTCGGGGAGGCGGAGACCGGTCCTCCCGCGGTGGAAGCTGGGCCTCCGCTCCGTTGCCCGGGAGCCGAGGCCGCCGAGCCGCCGCCCACAGCCGCGGTCCCTTACAGGGAGGGATTTCAAACTCCCCGAAGCCGTAGCGTCCCGGTACTCCTCGCCTCGGGCCGTAGCTGTCGGTCGGGCTCGGGGCTCGGGCCGGTGATCTAGGCAGGAGCGGGAGGCGTCCACTTGGAGGGTAAGGGGCGGGCCGCGGCCGAGAGAGGAGGTCTGCGGCCGGGGGATGGACGTGATGGGGGTGTTGCGGGGCGGGGCGGCTGATGCGGCACCGGGGCGGAGCCGGAGAAAGTTAGGCGCGTGGGGTTTGTCAGCCCCCAAAGCAGGAGGAACGTGCGGTGCAGGCAGATCCAGAGAAGGGCGAAGTTAACCAGAAAGAAACCTCTGGAGGCTGGTGGTGATCCGGAGGGGTGGGCGTGGAGCCTCTCAGAGTCTCTGGGACAGGGTATTATTATTACACTGTCATTAAGCGGGAAAGGCACTTTGGCCCAGGCTATGAGTTACTTTTAATATATCCTTGAGGGATGGAATGTGACGAATAAAAGTAGTTAGCCAAACCTACCTGTTGACATAGCTGCGTTGGGGTGGGGTGAACAAGGGGACAGTGTTTCTCCATGTGAAGGGCCGGTCCAGTTCACCTGAATGTAAACTCTTACTCATTTCGTGGGCTCGAAAAGTAATGGCATCTATCAAGCGGCAGTATTTTTTTTCCCCCGGTGAGGGGGTGCAGTGAACAGCAGATTCGTTGTGAGGATTCATTTTATGGAGGTATTTGTACCTATGTTTGGGTGGTGTGGAGGGAAGTTTTATGGAAGTAGATTTTCTTTTAGGATTGATTTTGTGTCTTTTCTGTCACGAACCAGCCAGCCCCTGTCTGCTCATCTCCACCCCGAAATTTGAGGGTCTAAGCTCATCGCCCAAGCAGAGTATGCGTGACCACATACATGTTTATGCCCAACCTATGCGTTCAGGATGAGATGTCTTTGGGATCAAAAGTCATCATTTAGTTCAGCAGTTGAGAGCACTGACTGCTCTTCCAGAGGACACAGGTTTGATTCTGTGAGCAGCTACATGACTGCTCACAACTGTTTGTAACTCCAGTCCTAGGGAATCCAACGCTCTCTTCTGGCCTTCTTGGGCACCGGGAATGCACACGGTGCACAGACATAGCTTCAGGCAAAACACCCATACACATATTGATAAATAAATAAATAGATA